CTCGCCCCCTCGCCTCGCCTCTCCCGGACTTCGAGTCCCCCGCCGCTCGCGGCCGCCAGGAGTCGGGGGCAAGGAAGAGCGGGGAAGAAGAGTAGAGAGGGGTGAAGGGGGGAGAAAGAGGAGCTGAGGAATGGGGGACGGGCTGGAAGGGAGACGTTTGACAGGTTTGTTGACTGTAAAGAGAGAAAACTTCCCAGGAATGAGGGAGTTTGGGGCGGGGGGCGGTGCAGAGGGAGATGCTGGCGCGGAGGCAAGAGAGGAAGTTGGCCTGGGGCGCGGGGTGCTTCGGCGAGGGTTGTCAAACTGGACCGCCCGAAAGGCGGATGCTGGAGGGGTCATCTCTTTCCGTGTCCCTCTTCGGTGCTGCACGCCCCTTCCTCAGCCTCTCCTTGAAGAAGGGAGGAAGCCATGGGCCTCCGCTCTCGCTCCCCAGCCATTCCACCTCTCAAGCCCGCGTTCCGGGGCGGGGAGGTGGGGGAAATGAGACGGCAAGAGGAGCCGCTCCAGGGCGTGCGCGCAAGCGCTGGCACGTGTAAGCGAGCGGGAGAATGCAGGTCGCAGACTTTCAAGAGATCGAGGGGTCAGAATTCGCTGCAGCCCGGCCTCCCGTGTCCACGGGTCTCTGCCTCGAGTTCCTCCCCCAACCTGGCCCGGGTAGAAGGGGTGGGAGAGCCAGCTGCAGGTGAGATGGCGTTTATCTGATTTTCTAATGCCACAAAAATGTCTTTGATGCCCCAGCCCCCTCCCCACGGGGGAGAGGAGATCAAAGGCTCCGTGGGGAGGAGGGACAGCTCCATTCATCACACCATTCAGCTGGCAGTGGGCAGCAGCCCCTGTCCCTCCAGCCCCTGATGTGCCCCAGGGTGCTGAGGGACAGGTGGTGTGGGACATTCTCCCTGCCACTACCATTAAGAGCAACCATCAGCCTTTAAGGCTGTCCTGGAGTGGGGAGAACAGATCGAGTCCCTATGGCAGAAACGTCAGGTGCCCAGAAGAAAAATCCTGGTTGTTGGGAGAGAGGGGGACCTGATCGTGGGGACTGAGGTCACTTCCAAGAGAGACAAACAACCTTGGTGACCAGAAAGAGAAGACAAGATCCTGAGTCGCCCAGAGAGGGGGGACAAGTAGATCAAGATGAGGCCAAGGGGCTAAGCGAGGAGACCCCAGGGGAGAAGGCAGATGGGGGAAGGAATGAGCAGACAGAGATGAGAGAACTGGAGAAGTGTTGACCTTGCCTGCGAGCAAGCTCCGTATCAGGGCTCTGGTGTCCAGTCTGCATCAGCTCAACCCCTTGTACTGGATACAGAGAGTTCTGATGAAGGGACTAGGACATGCTAAAGAAGGGGAACAGGGGAGTCATAGAGAGAGGGTCTGGTCCAAGCACTGCCCTCTCCCATTTTAGCCTTTAACATTATCCAAATGCCACACAGAGCCCCTGCACCTAGTAACTTTGCACACAGTCGCTGTTTCTACGGGGTAATGCCAATCTGGACAGTTACTACAGGTCAATGCCAACTTTGGACACTACACATTCAAAGACATACCCAGGTTGGGTGCACACTCCGGCCATGTGGTACCAAATAGCCAGCTAGAGGGCTCTGGGGGTCCCTGGAGGCTGCAGGTGGCCAGTAGCCAGCCTCCTGGGAGCCACTGCCTGGGTTCCGAACCCCCTGCCCAGCCCTGCTCCCACCCTGCTACTGTTATTGCAGATTATGAAATGCTCTCCCTATCCTGCATTCTTCTCCGAGGCAAGAATTTTAATGTATTTGTCTTTGTCATCAGGGGACCTGGGCTCTGAGACCGCCCTGCCTCTGCCTGAGGAGGGAGCGCCCCAAATCTAGTCCCTGCTGCCTCCAGACCCCAGCCTCTCTCCATTACCACCCCTCCCCCATGCCCTAGCCCTGCTCCCCGCCTCCCCCTCCTAAGACACAGTCTCTCTGTGGGGTGGATAAAAATGATGTTATTGAAACAACAGAATTGGGAGCAGTGGCAGGGAGCAGGGATCAGCTCAGGAAACTGGGGCGTTTGCCAAGAAGCCTTCTCCCCCGCAGGCGGCCTTTCTGCCCCCACCCCCCACCTTTCCTGCAAACATACACAGCTGGCCCCACCCCTCCTGCAGCACTCACTCTGGCCAGATCTTGCAGAATCTTTTGCCATCTCTGGACTCCCCAAGCCCTTGTCCCTCCCCCACACAGTCCCATTCCAGAATCAGTTGGCCCAGTAGTGCCTGCAGAGCATTGCAGGGTTGGGGGGTGGCGGGGAGGTGGGCTGGAATCTGTGACAAGCAGGACTCCTGGAGTCCCAATTCCTAGGGCTTCTGCCCCAGGAGCACCCTTCTGCTCACTCTCCTTTGCCCTCTCCGCATCCTCATCAAGGGGCTGGCTGACATCTGGGCAGAGCCAGAGGATGACTTCTGTTGTTTTGCTCCCAAACCTCCAAAGAGATGAATTCAGATGTTCCTGAGCCTTCAACCCACCAGTATCACCTTAGAAGACTTACAAAGGAGCAGGGGCTGGAGGGGGGTGGCAGGAGGAAACAGACCGTGGTGCACAAAGATAGATCAAGATATGTGACATACTTGCCCCCTCACACCAATGACTGGGCACAGGCCTCCAGATAACCCCACAGAAACCACAGGACATCCTCCCTCCCCCAGATAATGCTGTGATTTTTTACCCACAGGTATGGACGGACACACAGATGGGCTGGCTCAGGCTGAAACACATCACACACACACACACACACACACACACACACACCCCACCTCTGCAGAGATATGCATGCAGAAGAATGTTCACAAGAGACTAGAGTGGGAAGACAGCAGCCCGGAAACGGGTGACCTGAATGGGGAGGTGACAGTCTGACCCCCCTCTCTATCCTCTGGGCCCTGCCCACCCCACCTTCCTTCATCGCTCTCCCTTAAATCCTGGGAACCCGTTCATACTATGTCTAGGCCCTGCGCAAAAGGGAGACAGGAAAGGAGAGACTGAAGGTTAAGGAGGAAGGAGGGGCAGAGTGGGGGCAGTGGAGTTGGGGGGGAGAGGCAGCTGGAAATAGATAACATCAGAATCGCTGCGGGCGAAAGCAAAGCCCTCTGTTTCTGGCGGATTCTCTCTCACTGTCTTTCTGTGCCTTTTTACATCTCTCCCATGTCCATAATTCGGTCTCTATTTGTGTCTGTCTCTAAATCACTTTCTCTGTTTGTCATTTCTCAGAATGGCTAAAGCTGCAGGAGCCCAGGAATTTGGGCCTGTGACCCTTCCCCTCCCAAGAACCTCCCTCTTTCCCTCCCTACTTCCCTCCTTCTGTCCCCAGAACTCCTATCTGTCCTTCCCTCTCTCTGTCCCCAGGAACTCCTATTCCTTCAGGGAGGTGACATGCCTTGAGAATTCCTAAGAGCCCTTGGTTTCTGGGTCCCTGGAGAACAGAGAGAGGAAAGGCCAACCCCTTAGAGAGATGGAGAAAGATAGAAAAAGAAAAGACAGCGAGGAGAGAGGCTCAGTTTCCTCTTTCTTCTGCATCGCAGACAGCTCTCCTCCCACACTCGCAGCCCACCTGAAGCCAGGAAAGTGTACTTTTCAAGAGCAAAGTCGTGGCTCTAGTCAAGGCAGGGATAAGAGAATCCCCTATACCAGGCCCCAGCTTCCCGCAGAGCCCACCTGCCTCCCATCTTCTACCTCTTTCAAGCCTATCCATGCCCCCCCCAGTCCGGGGAGAAAGAACTCAGGGGGAGCTTGAAAGGGGGTAGGGGAGCACGGGCTAAGGAGGGAGGGGCTGCTGCTCGCCCACCACAACGGGGCTGGGGGAAAGCCAGGGAACATTTGTTTCCACTTAGCCCCATGGGCCCAAGTGGGAGTGGTTGGCCCCAGGAGCCTCTCCAGCCATCCTGGCCCAGGCTGGCTCCTGTGGTATTGACGTGCGGTGGGCAAAGGGTACTGGCCTGGCCTCAAGTGTTCTAGGGAAGAACCGCTGCCCTCCTCTCCTCCATTCTGCTCCTGGGACACCACCTGTCCCTGCTGCTTCAGCTCTCACTTCTTCGGGAAGCAGGGCTCCTAAATCCAGGTCTCTGCAGCCAGCCTCCCTTTTGATGTCTTGTCTGCTGTCTCTCTCCCTGGGCAGCAGTCAGCAAATTTGTAATTGGACAGTGATGTGCCAGGCTCCCAGCTGGGTAGCGGGGGGAAAAATGGTGAGCAA